GGTTATGTGAATGTTAGTTGTAAGCATTTATTAGTCGAAGCTGCAAAAGCTGGCAGATTACCACAAACATTGCAAGATGTTGAAATCGGTACTATTGTTCCTGGTTATGTGAGAAATATTACAGATTATGCAGTTTTTATAAGTTTCTTGGGCGGCTTTAGTGCGAAGGCTATGAGACATGTGAATATTTATTTTTTTTTTTTTTTTTTGTCAATTTCAGAGGTTTTGTTTTGAACATTACTAAATATACACATTTAAAATCCAGATGATTGCTGACCATTATGTTGCTAGTCCCGTCGGAATATTTTATCCTAATCAGTCTGTTATATGTCGCATCGCATCAGTTGACACCGAAAATTCAAGGTGTGAGGTTTCATTGAAACCTTCGGAAGTAAACATATCTTCTCTCCCATTTATTACCAAAGGAGATTTTATTAAATCATATTTTTCGGAGATGCGTGAATGTAGACATTTATCAGTAAAAGAACAGAAAGTTCGGATTGGCGAATGTGTCGAATTTCAGGTGAAAAAGCAAATACCAAAACAAGAAATACACATTTTCAAAGCAAGAATTCTTTTAAAGGAGGACGAGAACATCAAGATAACAGTGTCTATTAATGAGGATCATGCTGGAGGTTGTGAAAATATAGAGGAAGGTGTTATACTGCGCGGAGTCGTTCTCGATTTTGATGCAAAGGGAAAGCTTGCAGATATATCAATGAGGTCTGAATTGATGAATGAAAATAAAATAACTAGAGAGCAGAACGATCAAGAGCCTGAAAGTGATCGTGATCCATTCTTCTCGCATGTAAGTTTCGAGTGTGAGGTCCACATTTGACATTATTCTTTAAAACTAGTAACTTTACTTTTGTACCACTAACTGAAACTTTAGAGAAAGGAGCTTAGGAAAATATCAAAAACTGGTAAAACCGTGGATGCAATAGTTGAGCTAGTAAAAGAAGATTATATAATTGTATCTCTTCCAGAGCAAGGCAACACAATAGCTTTCGCTGCTTCCAAATATTATAATGATCGTTCACAGCCCTTCATGAGATATAAGTTTGGGCAGAGAGCAAAAGCCCAAATTACATATGTTCCTCGACATAAGGAAGACGCCAATTTTTCGAGTAGGCATGGATCGATTGATCGTGTCCTGGTGACACTGCAATTTCCTACCGAACAACAAGAACGATCACATTTGACCAGTACTAAAACCCTTGAAGACTTTTCTCCGGGGGAAAAAATTAAGGGTGCTGTTACGGCAGTCGAAAATTATGGAATCTTCATTAAAATCAATGACACATCTATCAGTGGATTGTGTCATATATCAAAAATATCAGACGAATTTGTTAGAGATTTGTCTTCATTGTATAAGGTTGGGCAACGCGTGACAGCGGTGATCTTGGGTATAGACCATAAGGCCCAAAAGATATCTTTTGGCCTTAAAGAATCATGTTTTAAGGCTCACAATTTGGAATTATCTGATGATTCTGACGCGGAGCATGTGATGGAGGTCCGATTTCAAATCATGTGTTATGTATTCCTCAAGAAATTATTAGTCACTCATTGTTATTTTGATAAAACTTCCTTTTTAGATCGACGAAGACGATAAATTGAATAACCCTGTGGAAATGAATCTTCAGTTAGACGACGACGAAGAGGAAGAATATGATTATGCTGAAGTCGAAGACAATGCGATGTCTATTTCTGAAGATGAGTTAGAGCAAGTTGAGGTTGAGCCATTGCCTTTTTCTGGTACCTGGAAGTGGGAAAACGAAATTGAGAACAAAGAGCAAAGTGAAAAGATAATCGAACATTTGTCTGGTCGTGATACTTTAGACAGTGTACCAGAAAATAGAAAGAAAAAGAAAAAGATTAAAGCAATAGATATGGAGGATAAGACTGAGGATCTGTTAAAGAAGAAACCTGAGGTCAACGCAGATTTTGAGAGACTATTGCTAGGATCACCTGATTCTTCCTATTTATGGATCAGCTACATGGCTCTTCAACTTAAACTTTCGGAAATCAATAAAGCACGCGAGATTGGTGAACGTGCGCTTAAAATTATTAATTATCGGGAGGAGCAAGAAAGATTAAATATATGGGTTGCCCTTATGAATTTAGAGAATAATTTTGGGACAGATGAGAGTATGGAAAATGTCCTACGACGGGCTTTACAGACGTGTGATCCGAAAAAGATATATCTTCTGCTCGTGGGAATTTATGAAAAGTCTGGCAAAAAGGAGGTATAAAAGATGAAATTCTTTATTCGTCCTGGATTTTCTCAATCTTTCATTTTTAACATTCTTTGCCCACTTATTCTAAGCTTGCACAACAAACGTATCAAATTATGATCAAAAAATTTTCGCAAAGTTCAAAAGTTTGGACAAAGATGAGTTTATTTTATGTTAAAAACGGTGACATTCAGGCATCACGTGATTTACTTCAAAGAAGTTTAAAGTGTTTGCCGAAGCGAAAACGTACGTATACATTATCAAGTCATGTATTTCGACTCCTCTTTCTCATTGTAATGCATGTTATTCAATATTATTTACACAGACGTCAAGGTTATAACGAAATTTGCATTGATGGAATTTAAACATGGTGAAGCTGAAAGAGGTCGTACGATCTTTGAAGGAATGATGAGCAGTTATCCTAAGCGCGTGGACTTATGGTCAATATATATCGACATGGAATGCAAGGTTGGAGACCTGGACACTGTTCGGCAAGTATTTCTCGATTTTATCGGGTTGCGTGTTTATCACGTAATATATGCGCCATATTTAATGATTTCATACTTTAACAGGCGGCTTTTCCAAAGGATCACAACGATGAAGTTCTCGTCTAAGAAGATGAAGTTCTTTTTTACAAAGTGGTTAGCATACGAGAAGAAACATGGTAACGAAGAACAAATTGAAGATGTCAAAGCGAGAGCTCAGACCTTCGCAGAATCACTAAATTAAAATTGAATATATCATTAATTATTTCGATGAGCAGATTAATAGTCATAAAATTAATTCATTCTTGCCATGATGGCGATTAAAAAATTTCATTTTTACCAATCTTCACATAAGTAGTAGGGCATTAAATTTTCCTTTACTAAAGTGAAAATAAAAAAAATATTGATTTAAAAATAATAATATTTCGGATCACACAGAATATAATCACGTTTTGTGAAAACCATGTAAAATTTTGTCAATACATAGTTTGCAGGAAATAGAATTGAAGATATGAAAATTTACCAACTCTTAGCCCCCCTATTTTACTTTTACGGGTCTAGCGAAGCACTAAAGGAAGATAAAAAAGTCTTGCTTGCAGACGTAAAGACTATCACCTTTTATCGCGGGAAACTCACCACAGGCCGAAGAAATGAGCCAATTAGACAAATGCAATGTGTCGGAGGAGATGCTTGTCATGAATTCGTCCCTGGTAAGTTCCAATTATCTAATATTCCTCAAGGGATTTTTTTATTAACTATTTTTTGCGTATTTAGACGTGGTACAATGCACTAATGTTGGATCTGACGGAACAGGTCAGTTCTGTGAGAAAAGTTTTGAAATGCCAGGTTCAACTAACATTTTGTCGTTTCAAGATACCAATTGGCGTTGTGATGCCGAACTTCCCAAATCTTTGAAATTTGGACCTGTACGTACTCTACTTTTTATTTGAGTAAATTTAACTGACCAATAAAGCGAACCAATAAGTTGATGTTGAACCGATAATACAAGATAACAGTGTCTTGCGAAGGTTGCTAGCCTCATTTTGCTTTTTCTTGCGAAAAACCATTATTATAATTATGCATTCATAACAATAGGGTACAATTATCCTGAGGATCCATATATCTTGAGAGGTATTTAATTCGCGTCAAAGTTTTTTCAAATGAAACGATAATGCTAACACAGCATTATTCTTCCTAGGCTCATGCGGACTTGAATACACCCTCTATCGTACTAATGTTAGAGAAAATGAGGGATTCTTTCAGTGGTTCAATGATAACCCAGAGCTGTTTGAAGAAGAACATGGTTTCTCAAATAATTATCTAAGTAAAGTTTAATATCTGGGAATAGTATATTTAAATTCATAAAGTAATAAGGTCCTCTTAACATTTTAACAGGAACCGAGCCTCAAGTTCTTATTTTCTGGATTTTATGGATAGGTTTCTTCTATCTATATACATATATGTATCGAGCTTTTTTCAGGAGACATTGTTTTTTCTAACAGGATAATTTTTAACAACAAAACCATCCAGGTGTGATGGCATTTATGATTTATAAATTTTTCTTAAGTTGCAGAAATCGACGGCGTAATAATGGGTATATGTTTAATATTGAGATATGATGGAAAAATTTGATTATTTTAAATGTTAACTAGTTTACTCTAATCTACAGGCCACAAGTTCAAGGAGGGAGTGGTTGGGGCGGTGGTGGTGGTGGTGGTGACGACAGATTTGGTTCCGGCTATGATACTTGGAGCAATGGTAAGACATGAAGGAAATTGAACTATTATTGTACTGATGTACAGTATTAATCATTCTCTGTTCGCAAAGCTCCTCTTAATAGTTCATCGTCATATGGACTTTCCAATGGTTTTTGGCCAGGGGTTGGACTGGCTGGTATGGCAGGCTATTACCTTGGCAGCCGAAATCGACATCGAAGACAGAGGTGGTGTAAATCTTGAAGTTAAACACATATTTACATTATTAGCTCACATTATTTATTCAATTTGTAGAGATCGTGTTATTCAAGAAACTCACACATCATCGTCACCTATTGCTGAATCGTCTAGTATGGCCAATGCTAGAGGTTTTGGTGTAACAAGAAGAAGATAGTTCAATTATTTGTAATTGTCTCGACTTACGCAATACACTATTTACAAGTTTCACCTATTACATATAAATTAAAATAGTCATTTGTGTTGTCTAATCGAACGCCAATTGAAAAATATATAATCCAAAGAAACATATTTTAAAGAACTTGCATTATTGTTTTGAAGTTTTCCGGCTCTGCCATTCAAGTTTTATATCACATCACCTGTAGGTCATGTGATAAAATCAAAATAAATGTATAAATAAGACAAATTTCGGATGAAGTGATCTCAGCGGGGAACTTGAGTCTCTTTGCAAACATTATGTATTAAATAAACAGATACTGCGAACTTGGCAAACATGATAAAAATTGTACCACTTGGAGCTGGTCAAGACGTTGGCCGCAGCTGTATTCTCGTGTCAATGGGTGACGATAGTACGGGTGTAAAAAATATAATGTTCGACTGTGGGATGCACATGGGATATAACGATGATAGAAGATTTCCAGATTTCACGTATATCTCTAAGTCAAAACGCTTCACTGAACAGCTGGATTGTGTGATCATCAGTCACTTTCATTTAGATCATTGTGGTAGGTCATTTACACAAAGCATTCGTTCTTTTTTATGTCATATTGTAAAATTAATCTCAACCATCTTAGGGGCACTACCGTTCTTTACCGAGATGTGTGGGTACGAGGGCCCTATTTATATGACTCATCCAACCAAAGCTATCTGCCCTATTCTGCTTGAAGATTACCGAAAGATTACCGTTGAACGGAAGGGCGAGACAAATTTTTTCACGTCGCAAATGATTAAAGATTGCATGAAAAAAGTTACCGCCGTAAACCTTCACCAAACAATTAAGGTTAATGACGACGAGGATTTGGAAATTAAGGCATATTATGCCGGTCACGTTCTTGGCGCAGCAATGTTCTATGTGCGCGTTGGCACAAAGTCAGTTGTTTACACTGGAGACTACAATATGACTCCAGATAGACACCTCGGTGCAGCATGGATTGACAAGATCAGACCAGATGTCTTAATTACCGAATCCACTTATGCCACTACGATTCGTGATTCAAAACGATCACGTGAACGGGATTTTCTGAAAAAAGTACACGATTGCGTTTCACAAGGTGGTAAGGTTTTGATCCCCGTGTTTGCGCTCGGTAGAGCTCAAGAACTTTGCATTTTAATTGAAACATACTGGGAAAGAAATAATCTCAATGTACCTATTTACTTTTCCGCGGGTATGACGGAAAGAGCCAATGATTATTACAAACTCTTTATCAACTGGACTAATGAAAAAATCAAAAACACCTTTGTAAACAGAAATATGTTTGACTTCAAACACAGTAAACCTTGGGATCGACAATACATGGATTTACCGGGACCTGCTGTACTATTTGCAACACCTGGCATGCTTCATATAGGAACGTCTTTAGAAGTATTCAAGAAATGGGCACCATACCCCGAAAATATGGTCATCATGCCCGGTTTTTGTGTAGCAGGAACAGTTGGTGCCAAGGTACTTGCTGGTGACAAGGAGGTTCAAGTTGATGCTTATAATAAAGTTCAGGTCAAACTGCAAGTAAAGAATTTATCATTTAGTGCTCACGCTGATGCAAAAGGAATAATGCAGCTGATAAAGCATTGTGATCCTAGAAATGTGGTATTGGTACACGGGGAGAAAGCGAAAATGGAATTTTTGCAGGACAAAATTAGACGCGAGTGCCGAATCCCTTGTTATTCTCCCGCAAACGGGGAGACTTTAACAATAGAAACTCCGCTATCCATTCCGATTGATATCTCGGTGGACCTGCTCAAACGTCATATGTCTGCTCAGAAAATACCATTACCAATATCTGGTGATAAAATAGACGTAACAAAAATCAAACCGGTGGATGAAATATCAATTCAGGGCGTTTTAAAAATGGAGCAAGATCAAGTTCCACGTTTGATGGATATTGATGAAGCTGTCCGTGATGCACGGATACGTCTATTCGAAATTGATTTTAACATACTTAAAATATTTGACCCTAATCAATTGCAAGATACTGATTCCGGAAGAAGTGATATAAGAATTAGGGCTTTGGATCGTGTATACGAATCCGTTAAAAAAGCTATCGAGAAAGATTTACCAGACATTGAATTGTTCAAAGACATTTCTCAGTTTAGGGTAAAAAATGTATTAATTAGCATTCCGGATGAAAGTTCAAAAAATGCATTAAGTGTTTCCTGGAACTCAAAGGACCAAAGTTTGGCAGAGTACTTAATCTCAATCATTGACGATGTCCTTCCTGAGCCAAACCCTTTTTCGGACGATTTTATGGGCAGTTAATAATAAATCGACTTATTATTATTTTCGCATTTTCATTTCACTTGCTTTTTATGGTCACATGACAAAATCGGTTGTGCTACGTAAAAAAAACACGTATACGCTCGACGTAAAATTTATTATTGTTCGGGAAGAAAAAACCCGAAAAAGTTATAATATGGATGATTCATTATATGACGAGTTCGGAAATTACCTTGGACCAGACTTACCTGAATCGGAGGAGGAAGAGGAGGAGGAGGTTCCTCAACCCATGCAAGAAGTCGAGGACAACTATGAGGATGGTGAAACAGAAGAAACAGGAGCCCCGGGCATGGAACTTATGGAGATAGATGGTCAGCAAAATAAATTTCTCAGTTACTTCCCGAAATGTCACTTTTTAATCATAGAGTGCTCTTAGATACTTTTTTCGCTTGATGCTTTTAAACTCGTGTTGATTTCTACTTTTTTCGATGCACTTTTTTTGAGACGCGAGTTTAACCTTACACGCCTTTCCTTATTATTTCTATGGGCTTTTTTATATCCGACTGATAGCTGGGCTTCCTTCTTACAGATATTCCTCAGACCCAAGTTGTTCTTCATGAAGATAAAAAGTATTATCCGAGCGCAGAGGAAGTTTATGGACCCGAAGTCGAGACTTTAGTTCAGGAAGAGGATACTCAACCTTTGTCTGAGCCAATCATTCAACCCATTAAGATTAAGAAGTTCCAAATTCAAGAAAAAGGTCTCCCAGAGACAAGATTCAAGAAAGAGTAAACATTTTCCATTTAACGTTTGCTCATCTTTAATAATTTACTAATTATGGCTAAATATTAGATTCATGGTAGACATGATGAATTTTCCTGAATTGGTTAGAAATATCGCCATAATTGGTCATTTACACCACGGCAAAACCTCCTTCGTTGATATGTTGGTCAATGAGACTCATTCATCTGTGGCATGGGACGTGGATAAACAGGTTCTTATTTAATCGCCACTGTTATAAAAAAAAAAAAAAGATTGTTATTTTAAAGATGATAATCCTAAATTACAGGAGCGATACACGGATACTCATACACTTGAGAGAGATCGAGGTGTTAGCATCAAGAGCATGCCAATGACTCTTGTTTTACAAGACACAAGACCAAAATCATACCTTTTTAACATATTAGATACTCCAGGCAAGTATTTTGACATGTCAACAACGTTGCTCTCATTCGACAGATGAAGTTTAACAGATAATCATAATTCCTTCTACAGGACATGTCGACTTCGTGGACGAAGTTACCGCGGCGCTTCGACTGTCAGATGGAGCGGTTATAATAGTGGACGCAGTTGAAGGGGTACAACCTGTTCTTCACCTCTTTTATTATGAATCTTAATTTTTTCACGCGTTGACGTTTTCTTTTTTTGCAAAACAGGTTATGGCTAATACTGAACGTGTTATAAAACATGTTATCCAAGAAAAATTGGCATTCACAT